ATGTGGCACGTTGTCACACCAGAACCTCCTGGATATAAATAGATCCAGAGCGGCAGGATGGTGAATCCCAGCGCCGCAGGGCAGGCGGTGGCGGTGGCACAGCCGTCCCCAGGCTCTGTGGCAGCGACGCTGCTCCTGCCACAGGGACCGAGTATGGGGACACGGAGGATGTATGAGGACAGCTGGGTGAAGCCAGGTGTCCCTGTGGGATGGAGCAGCCGCACCAGGCAGCTCCGGATGAGGAGGCACTGCCCTGCTCCTGACATCCCACTGTCCGTGGCTGTGTCACCGTGTCACCTAGGGGGGCTGCAAGCAACCGGCAAAGGGGCCAGACACCCATCAGGACACCCACGGGCATCCCTGGTCCGAGCACCCACGGGAGCAGGCGCTTCCTCAAGCCGCAGCAAGGTCACCCCCAAGGGCAGGGTGGGGGCCCACGGGTGACATATGGCCCGGGAGCAGTGGCCGCGGGGCCGCTAAGCCACCGAGCCGTCACCCGCTAATCCCGGTGCGAGGACGCGGCGGGTGCCGCACCCAGAGCCACCAGCCGGTGCCTGCCCGGTTCTCCGGAGCAGGGGGACCGGCTTGGGGAACCCCCGTGTCCCCCCCAGCACCGGCAGCGCTGCGGGGCGGCCCCTGCCACCAAGGAGGTCAAAGGTCAGAGGCACAGATTTGGGGGACAGAGGCACAGATTTGGGGGACAGAGGCACAGATTTGTCTCCGCACCGGCCTGCCCCAGCCTGGGGCGCTGCTCCCCGCCCCCGGGGGGGGTCCCCGCTCTGTCGGGGTTGAGTCCCCGGGGCACTGCACCCCCAAATCCCCCACCCCGCCCAGAGCCCGCGGGGGCTCCGCCGCCCCCAGCCCGGCCCCGGGCAGCTGCTGCGGGCGGGAGGCAGCGGCCGACGGTCCCTTCCCCGGCCCCGCCGCCCCCCGCCCGGCTCCCCCGGGCCCCCCCGCCCGCCGCCGCCCTGTCAGCCGCGCAGAGCGATGGCTTCCTCCGCCCGCCGGCCAGGAAACGGCGCAGACGCCGCTCCCGCCCCCCGGCCCCCGGCGCCCCCCGCGCTCCCGGCCCCGCTCCCCGCCGGGCCCCGGCCCCGCCGCACCCCGAAAAGGGGAAGCGGCCCCGGCCCCCCCCCTCCGCGGGAAGGTGGGGGGGGGATGTGGCTGCGCGCACCGGCGAGCCCGGTAATCCCGGGGTGGTCTCCCCAGCACCGCGCTCTGTGGCGGTCGTCCGGTCCCCGGTGGGGTGTAGAGGCTTAGCGGAGCCGCCCCGGAGCCCGCACCGGAGTGGGGGCGCAGCGCTGCCGCCCGGGAGCGCCCAGGCAGTCGGTACCGGGAGAGGGAACTCCGGCACCCCCAAGCCCAGTGTAAGAGGCAGAGGCCAAAGCCGCGATCTCGAAGCCGCTGCGGCTCCGGTGCTCCCGGCAGCCGCAGCCCGGCGGAGTCCCTCCCCCGCTGCGGGAACCCCGGGATCACCCGTTACCGGAGGGGGATCCCCAGAGGCGGTACCGGAGCCGCATCAAGACCCTCCTTCCCAACCCCACTCCCACGAGCAGATCCAGAGCCCCCTCATTACCTGCTCGCGGAGACTCCAACACCGAAATCCTTAAACCCGGGGAGTTCCCGGTGGTGGCTGCATGGCGGCGGCACCGGGAAGGAGCTGGGGGGGAAGGGGGTGTTCGCCCCGGCTTAGAGGGGTGAGGGAGGGGTGGGGTGGGGGTTCCCGGGGGGGTTCACCGAGCGGCGGCCGCGGCCATTGCGAGTCATGTGCTCGCGGGGAAACTTTACCCGGGGCTGGGCCGGGCGGGGCAGCGGCGGCGGCGGCGGCGGCGGCGGCGGAGGGCGGGGGGGGAGCGGGAGGAGGCCACGCCCCTCCCGGTGGCCACGCCCCCGCCCCGCCTCGGCAGCCAATGGGGCGCGGGCGGGGGCGGGGCCGGCGCGGCTCTGTAACTCTTTGAAGTCTCCAGAAAGCGGAAGGGGAGAAAGTGGGTGCGCGCGCCGCGCCGGGGGGGGGGGGTCTTAAAGGGGCCGCGCACCGCAACTTCGATGCCGCTCTTATCCTTCTTCTCCCCCCCACCCCCACCACCACACCACTCACAGGAGGAGGTGCTCCAACGACCCCCCCCCACCACCACCCCCAGCCCGCTTCCCTCTTCTCTGCCTCTGCATACACCAACCCCACCCTCCAGGTGGGGCAATTGGGGCACCCACATGAGGGAAAACACAGAGGGTGGGTGCTCCAAAGGTGTAGGGAAGAGATGGGAACACATTGAGGGGAGAGGGGAGAGGGATGGGGAGTTCCTGGGTTGCCCCCTAAGGCTCAGAGGGGAAGGGCTGGGGGCACCTGTGGCACCCCGGGGGTATAGAGTTGTGCCTGTACCCAGAGGAATTCCCTGTTCTGTCCCCGGAGAGATGCTGATTCTAGGAAGGGGATGGCGATGGAGACACAGACATGGCACAGCCTACCCAGCCACATTCTGGGAGCCCAGAAAGAGCACCCAAGGCCCTGCAGCCACCAGCACAGCCCAGACCCAGGGAGGGCAGTGGGGCAGGAGCTCCCCTGAGAAGGCACATGTGAGGAGTGTAGGCAGTTCACCACATGCCCCGGGGGGAGTCACACTAGCCCCACCGCTGCCCAGAACCCTTGGGTGCCTGTCAGGATCCCAGGGTACCCACACAGGAGGGTGATGGCCCACCAGCACATTCCCGTGCCTCAGTTTCCCCCGAACAAGGTTGGACACCCCGGTCGGGGCACCCCCAGCCGGGAGCAGCCGCTGGTCCCCTCCCCGCACACCGGGCCCAGGCGCCGGCATGTGCTCAGCCCAGTGGAATGTGCCAAATCACTCCCAGATGTGCACAGCGGCCAGCCCGACCCCTCCTCACTCCGCTCCCACCGGGGCAGCCACCGGTTACCGGGGACCCCCGAGCGCAGCCCCGCGGCACCGAGCCCATCACCGGCCCCGTCCGTGCCGCGGCGTCGCGGCCCCGAGGCACGGCAGGAAGGTGCCACCAGCACCGGCTGGCCGCGTCCCCGGTGCCACCGGGGCCCCGCGGGGTCGTGCGGGGTCGTGCCCCGCAGCCCCGGCCCCGGTGCAGGCGGGAGCAGCCGGGCGGAACGGCGCTGTCAGATGGAATCTCGGTGCCCGCGGTGACGGCGCGGCGGGAGGCGGCCGTGCCCGCCACGTGGCCGCTTATGTAAGGAGAGTGCAAGGGAGGACAGCGAGGGGACACCGGGGACACCGCCGAGGGGACACCGCACTCGGCCGGACACGCGTGGGGCTGCCCACGGCGCGGTTGGCACGGCACATGCGTGCGGGGACAGGGGACACGGGCATAGGTGTGCTGGAGCCCCTCGGGCTCCCCACCCCGCTGCTGGGTGTCCCGGGCTGTCCCCTCGCCACGCCGCTCCCAGCACGGCTCCGGTGGGAGCTCCGGCACCCCCGCGCCCGGATCCGGCTGCGCCATCGATTTTTCATCCGCTGCGGCAGAGCGGAGCTGAGGCTGGCACCGGCATGGCCCAGGGGGGCCTGTCCCCATCCCCATCCCCACACACACACACAGCCAGGACACCCCAGGGACGCTGCCAGCACTGGCAAACCCCCGGCCTTGCCCTGGGGTGCCCACCGTGGCCAGTCTGGCCCAGATGTGGGAGCGTCCCTCTGCCACCATCACCTCAGCCATCAGCATAGGGGGACACAGGGGCTGGGGGTGGAGCAGCTGGGACAGAGGGAAAAGGATGAGGGAGAAGGACAGGGAGAAGGATGAGGGAAAAGGAGAGGGAGAAGGAGAGGGAGAAGGATAAGAGAGAAGGAGAGGGAGAAGGAGAGGGAAAAGGATAAGGGAGAAGGAGAGGGAGAAGGATAAGAGGGAGGAGGGAGAAGGATGCCAGCCTGCATCACCACCGCGTCACCGCGGACCCACACGCTGCCAGGCGCTTCCTTCCTGACACCGTCACCCCGTGCCATGTCACCGTGTGCCGGGGGGCTGCGTCACTCCCTGGGGCTGGCACGGGGCAGGATGTGGCCACCGTGGTCCGTGGGGAGCTGGGCACCCCCAGGCAAGCCATGCTCAGCCCAGCTCTGCCCACGGGCAGGACGATGCCGGTACCCGCTCAGCCGCAGAGCCTGGTGACGGGTGGCTGGGTCCCGGTGCCCGCTGAGCCCCACGGTGTGGGGAGGGGCAGGGACAGGGTCCTGCAGGGCCCCTGAGGTGCTGAGGGCACCGGGACACAGCCCAGAGCGGGCACAGCCCGGGCTGACCCCGGCGCCCGCCCGTGCCGCCGCACACGCACATGGCAGTGCCCGCTATAAATAGCGCCGGCAGCAGGGCTGAGCCTGCTCGGGGCTCCAGAATCCCCCGTGCTCCCCCTGCCTCGCTTCCCCTGCCGCTCCCCACGGCCAGCAGCCACCAACGTGTCCCCAAGGTGTCCCCTGGCCCTGCACCCCGTTCGTGGTGGCACCCAGGGCCCGCCCCAGGCTCCCCTCTGTGTCCTTGTCCCGGGCAGCAGCGCAAATGTCCCCATGTCCTGTGACCTGCAGGGATGCCACAGCCCCAGAGCTGAGGGGAAGAGCTGAGGTGGAGCTGGAACATAGCAGGGCCACCCCTTGGGGCCACAGGGAAACTGAGGCACACTGGGGATACCAGCACCCCATCCCTGGCCAGGAGCTGCTGGGGGGCAGCCGGGGGTCCTGGGGGACAGGGTGGGATGGGGGAGGTAGGGTGGGATGGAGAGATGTGAGGCACAAGCAGAACCTCGTGCCCTCCCACTCCTCTCACCCCCGTTTGGAGCCCCCAACACCCCCCCCCCGACAATGAGGAAGCTGCAAAATTAGGTCAAAGCGTCCATTATTTAACAGAAACGGAGGAGCTGGGGCCAGGAGCTGAGCCTGGGGCTGGAGCCCAGGAGAGGGGTTGGGGAGGACAGGGCTGGGTCCACACAGCCGGAGGGCAGGCAGGGATTGGAGGAACAGCGGTGAAACATGGGGGACAGTAGCCAGAGCTGAACCAAAATGACTTTATTTCACAGCAGGAGATAAAGGGATGCCCCTGTCCTCTTCCCCCAGGGGTCCCTGGCCCCGCTGTGACACTGCCAGCACCGGGACCAGAGCAGGGCTGGCACCAGGAAGATTCTCCTTGCAGCCAGAGTGCTCAAGAGGTTCCAGAGAGCCCCGGGAGGCTCTGAAAGAGTTGGGAGCAAACATGGTCTGGGATTCAGGGCAGGAGCAGCACCAGACCTCAGGATCACACCAGGGTGGCAAGGGGGATCAGGAGCACTCACCACTCCCTGCTAAAGGGCTGGGGGGGGCTGCACAGAGGGGCTGGGGGGTGTCCCAGCCTCCTACCTAAGCTCCCACCACACAGAAATTACAATATAACATTAATAATATTATTACATTAAAATATTAATAAAAAGACCCCAGACTAACAGCCCCAGGGCCCAACTTGACAAATGTCCTAATGCTTTGGGAACCACTTGTCTGCTCTTGCCACAGCAGCAAAATCCCCCTTGAGGCCATGGGGAGGGGGGTCAGTGCAGGCCCTGGGCTAAGATGCTGCCCACCAGGGCTGTGTCCTGCAGCTTGTGCTCCAGCGCTGCCTCCTCCAGCGTCAGGGAAACCTGTGAGGGAGAACAGGGGTGCTCAGCACCGTGCTGCCAGCTCCTGCCCCAGTCCCACCACTGGATCGTGTCCCAGCGCTGCCACCAGACCCTGCTGCCACCAGACCCTGCCCCACCACCCCACGGTACCTTGGCCAGCCGGGCCTCCTTGGCCCTCTTGAGCTCGAGGACACCGCGGGACTCCAGGAGGGTGACAAGGGACAGACACTCGGCCTGGTCGACGGCGGGGAGCTGCTGCCGCCGGCACACCTGGCTGTAGGTGTCGTGGAGCTGGGGAGGGCAGGGCTGGGGGTCACACCACAGCAAAGCACCCAAGAGACACCCCAGGGACGCCCACCCACTGAGAGGGTCCCACGGCCACTCACCTTCCCCAGGGTCACCTCGCGAGCGTGGGAGTGCCGGGCGAGCAGGAGCAGGGAGCAGAGCAGCACCTTCTGCTGCAGAGGGAAAGTGTCCTGGGCCCCCCGGGATCCCCCCGCCAGCCGGTCCCCAAACACCTCCGAGAGCACCCGGGAGATGTGCAGGAGCCCCACGCGCTTGGGGACAGGGGACGCCGGGGAGTCACCTGTGGGACAGAGAGAGGGTCCCAGGGAGGTGAGAAAAGGGAGGTGGTAGTGGAGAGAGGTGCCCCACAAAGGGAGCCCAGACTCCCTCCCACCGAGGCGACCCCAGAGGAGCCCCCGCAGGGTTTTGGTTCTGGCAGCAGCGACTCACCCCCAGGCAGTGGCTTGAGCAGGGTCTGGCCTCGCACCTCCAGCTCCACCACCTCCACGGCACGCCTGGGGAGGGACAGCCCTGAGCGCCAGGCAGAGCAGCACCCCTGGCATGGGCACCCCTGGCACGGGTGCCCTGGAGCAGGGAAGCCATGGAGACTCCCAGGGACCAAGCTGCCCCAGGTTTTGGGGCACACACTGACCTACAGACATCCAGGGCCTTGCGAGCGTCACCAGAGACCGCAGAGACCTTGCGGGCACAGAACTGGAGTGCAGCAGAGTCCAGGACGGGGTCACCTGCCACCTGTGAGGCACCAGGGCCATCAGTGCAGCCACCCATGTGAGCAGAGGAGCCATGCCACCCCCCTCTGTCCTCCCCGTGTCCCCACCTGCCCCAGCCGCTCCTGCAGGATGCGGGTGAGCTGCTCCTTGGTGTAGGGTGGGAAGTGCAGCAGCCGGGGGCTGCCAGCTGGGTGGGCTCCCAGCCTGGCCAGGCTCCGGTCTGTCAGGTCCAGGGCATTGGCCAACCCTGCAGGGCGAGAGGAAGAGGAGGATGAGGGCTGCAAAGGGAAGTCCCCATCAACCCCCTCTAAAGAGGAGCAGCAGTGCTACACCCCACACTCACCCACGAGGACGAGCCTGGAGCCGGGCAGCTGGGGCCACTCAAAGAGGGTGTAGAGCACGTCCTGGCCTTTGCTCTCCAGCTGGTCCAGCTCATCCAGCACCAGGAGGCTGTGGGAGAGCCCATATCAACCCCTGCTCTGTCCCCTCACGGCCCTTCAAGCAGGGAGAGCAGAGCTGCTGCCAGCCTGCTCTCCTGGCATCCAGGGGAATCCCACTGCACCCGCCACAGACAGGGAACTCACACCATGGGCCCCTTGGCCGTCAGATGCTTCTCCAGGCTCCGGACACACTCCCGGCCGGTGGCCACGGGCAGCCCCAGGTGCTGTGCCAGGGCAGGGAAGACGCTCTGGGGGCTGCCCAGTGCCATGCAGTTCAGCACCACAGTCCTGCTCCCAGCCAGCTTGTCCTGCCAGGAATGGGAACGTTACACTGGCCCCACCCCACTGTCCCCCAGCCCCCACAGCAGCCCCACGGCTGTGGCCATGGCACAGACCTTGCAGTCGAGCAGAACACGGCTCAGACAGGCGGTTTTCCCAGTCCCGGGGGCTCCAGACACGTAGAGGCTGCCGGGACGGCGCCCCAGGACGTGTTCCTGCAGGAACTGCCGGAGGATCCTTGTCTCCCGCTCCCTGCCCGGGAGCTGCTCAGGCACAGCCGCATGCAGCACCTGCTTGGCCTGCTGGTAACAGGTACCTGCCGGGGAGCAAGAGGACTCAGGGAGGGAGGTGGCACTGCTGGGACTCCATCCCAACTGGTCATCATCCCCATCCATGTCCCCATCCCCATCTCTACCTTCATATCTATCCCTAGCTCCATATACCCATTCCTAACCCTGGCTCCATACCTCACCTCATCCCCATCACCATCCTTTGCTCCACCTTCAACTCGACCCCTATCACCATCCCTTTCCATATTCCCAATCCCTATCCCACCCATAACCCCATACCCAGCCCTGCCCACACTCACAATCCCATCCATAACCCCATACCCAGCCCTGCCCACACTCACAATCCCATCCATAACCCCATACCCAGCCCTGCCCACACTCACAATCCCACCCATAACCCCATACCCAGCCCTGCCCACACTCACAATCCCATCCATAACCCCATACCCAGCCCTGCCCACACTCACAATCCCACCCATAACCCCATACCCAGCCCTGCCCACACTCACAATCCCATCCATAACCCCATACCCACCTTCCTGCCTGAAGAGCCGGGCGGGTGGCTGCTGCCTGGGGGTCTCTGGGCTCCGAGTGGGGTCTCCACGGGTTCCTCTGCTCCTTGGGGACGGCCCCGGGCCCTTGGGCTGCTCGGGGGAGGCCGAGGGGTCCCCAAAGAGCAGGCGACGGCCCCGGTTCTCCTTGCTGCGCTTGGCCGGGGAGCAGGGCACGGCATGGGGGACATTGCACAGGTTGTCATCACCTGCGGGGACAACGGGCCGGTGGTGAAATGGGGCCGCACTCCCTGGCGGACTTTATGCTTCAGCACCCCCCAAAACCACAGCGGGAGCAGCTCTTCCTCCCGAAATGGGGGTGAAGGAGCAAACGCAGCTGGACCAGACCCCGCGACGGGAAGGGGGATGCGTCGCCCGCCATCCCCGGGGGGTTTCGGCGGAGGGACTCACCCAGGCGTTTGCGGGGGCTCAGGGGCTGCGCTGTGGGGCTCAGGGGCTGCGCTGTGGCCCGGTTTGAGCGTTTGTCCGGGGTGGCCCGGCCGGGACCGGCGGGGCCCGAGGCCTTGGAACGCGGCGAGGGGCGCAGAGCAGGGGCTTCGGGGTCGCTCTTGGCCGAGGGGGCAGCGAGGCGTCGGGCGCTCCTGGTGCGGGGGAAGGCGATGGTGGGCTGGCTCTGCGGGCTGCTGCTGGCCATGGCGGGGGCTGCGGGCGGAGGAGGACAGCGGTCAGAGGGCGGGACCCCGGTCAGGGGAGAAAGACCGCCAGCCCCGCGGGTCCCGGCCACCTTCTACCCCCCTAGGCCCAGCCCACGCCGCGCTGCCCCCCATCTCTGACCCCCACGTCCCCCAAAGGCCCCCCAAAGTCCCCCCATGTCCCCTCGGTCCCCCCACGCCGCACCGACCTTCTCGCGCCAAATCAGCCCCGGCTCCGCACTTCCCGCCACCAGGCCGAGCTGGCCCCGCCCCCTTCGCTCCATTGGCTGCGCCGCTGCCGCCGCTGCCAATCGCCGCGGTCGGAGGAAGGGTCGCAACAGAGCAGCCAATCAGCGAGCGCACCCGAGGTAGGGCGGAAAGTGCCGAGCGCGGCAAGCGGGGCATGCTGGGAGTTGTAGTCTGCCTGCGGGTACTCAGCGCTCCCAGTGCTCCCAGTGCCCCCAGTGCCCCCACGGCCCGCACCCCCCACCCAGCCTGCCCCGTACTCCCAGTGCCGCCAGTTCCTCCTGCACTGCCTTCCTGCTGCCGCCCATTGTGGCTATCCGCGCTCCCAGTGCTCCCCACCGCGCTGCCCCCATGCTCCCAGTGCCCACACGTGCCAGGCCCCCTCCCGCTGCTCCCAGTACCCACAATCCATCTTCCCAGTGGTGCCAGTGCCACAAGTAACCCCGATCCTGCCTTCCTACTGCCTCCCTGTGCTCCCAGTACCCTCCACCCTGTCTGCCCAAGTGCCCTGCTCCCAGCATTTGGGGCATCATCTCCAAGAAAGAAAAGGGGTTCTTGGGAACCTCCCACTTAGACAGCGTCCTTGACATCATTAATCACTTTATTACTTTTATTTAAATGTAATTCCCAGCTCCTCCAAATTCCTCTGTTCCCTTTTAAAAGGGCCCCTCACTCCAGGAGGGGCAGAACCGTGTTGAACCTTTATTTAACTCAAAATGCAGCGCTGGGGGGGGCTCATTCTCCAGAGAAACCCCCACTCACCCCTCACCCACCTCATTCCAGCCTCAACAGGGGAAGGTCCATCATCATAGAAAAAAAATCCCCTGAATGAGCCCCAGACCTGCAGGGGTGGCCCCCTGCACCCCGCGCCCTTCCTGCTATGGTACAAAGAGATCAGTAACTACGTTAGTGTGACCCCCGCCGCGGGGCCGGGACCACCCGCCGGACAGGGAGTGTAAGGCAAAACATCACCGGCCCCCAGGGCCCCCCACGCGCCCCCTGAAGTGCCAGACCCAGCACAAACGGCCCCCCACCATGTAATTAGTGTTGTTTTGTTAAAATGCTCAAGTCTGGGGGGAGTCAGCAGTGAGAGCCAGGGGAATCCCAGGGGGGAGTGCCAGGGGAGCAGTGGTTTCGAGGGGGGCACATAGGGGTGCCCCCTGTGGGGTCAGAGAAAGGGGGTCCCCAGCAGCTTTGGGGGCGTCCCTGCATGGTCCCACTCACGTTGCCCCCTGCCTCCACCGGCTCCTGTGCAAAAAAGCAATGGGCTGTGCCGGGATAACAAGTTCCAGCAGGATAACGAGGCTCTGCCGGCCTGTCCCTGCTTCCCCTCGCTCTGGGGGTCTCACAGTGTGTCCATTCCCTGCCTGACCCCAGCCCCCCTCCCTGAGCCCCCCTGGTCCCAACAGCTGGCACACAGCTCGGCCTCCAGTCCCGTGCCAGGCTCCCAGGCAGATCCCGACCCAGGATCCGTGAGGAGGAACGAGGGATGGACCCTCCAGGCTTGCCATGAGGTCACTGAGTCCTGGGGGGTGCATAGATGAGGCGGGGCTGGCGGAGCACGCTGGACTGGGGGGATCCGCTTGTCCTGGGAAAAGCGGAGAGGCTGGGAGTGTGTCATGCAGGATCCGGGGGGCTGGGAGCTGGGGGGATCCGGCTGAGGAAGGGGAAGGAGGTCCATGTCTCTGCTCTGGAACAATCCACCTGCACAGCCCGCTTTCACCTGGGGATGGGGGGCAGAGGGGGAGCCCCACGCGTAGCTGGAAGACAAGGAAGCCTGTTGGAAGCGGGAGCTCCGCAGAGCCGGATCCAGCACGTCTGCTTTCCCTCCTCCACACCCCCGCGCCAGCTGCCGGCCCCCCCGACCTCCCCGCGGAGATCTGGAGCCTGGGATTTGCGCCTGGCAGCAGCCGCTGCAGCCGCACCGAGCTCGGGGCTTTTCAAACCCGCATTAAACATTCATGGCTCTAAAAATAAATGAGCATCCCATTCTCCCCGGAGTCTCCGCCGGGATCCGCAGCGCTGACGTGCAGCACCAAGGGCACTTTGAGCTCTGCCGGGTCGGAGTGCCCGTGCTCGGAGCTTATCCTGGGATACACGGAGGGTCTGCATCCCCCCAGCCCCTGCCCAGCCCTGGGGTCCTTCGAGATCCCCTCTGGTGCCAAAGGTGCTCAGCAAAGGCAGGAATGATCCCTGCGGCATTTCCCAGCAGGCAAACCAGGAGCAGGTGGGATAGGGCATCCGCACAGCCCTAATTTCGGGCCCCACCACAGCACAGAGAGCTGCCTTCAGTGCTCGGGACCCCTGGGAATGGGGCTCAGCACCCCCAGAACACCGGCAGGGCCCAGGGCATGGCCACTGCACCACCCACCCTGTGTGGGGACAAAAAGGACAGTGCCAGCCATGAGGGCACAGGAGAGGAGAGGGAATTTGGGACACCCCCTCCTCCTCCTCACCTCTGTTTGTTTTGCTGGGGTAGATTCTCTGGAAGTATTTATATTCCTCTGGGGCTGGGAAGTCTTCAACGGGATGAAAGGAGTATTTGGATTCAAAGTCATCTGTGAAGAAACGGCAGAAGGGGCAGGTGAGGGAGGGGGGCTCTGGGGGAGCTTGGCCAAAGCCACAGGGCTCGGCTGCGAGGGGGATCCGTGCGGGGGTCCCACTCACCCAGGAATGCTCTGACGGTGGAGATGGAGTCCCGGTGCCCGTTCCGCACGGGCGGCGGTGGCGGCGGGGGCCCGGCCGGGGTCCGGGTGGGCGGCGGCGGGGGCTTGCCCCGGCTGGGGGGCTCGGTGGGGCCGTGCAGTCTGTAGGGGGGTGGGGGCGGGGGGGCGTCGCGCCCTCCGTTCCGCAGCATCGGCGGCGGGGGCGGCGGAGCTGCAGGGACAGCGGGGTCAGCGCGGCATTCCCGGGGCAAACCCGGGACGTCCCCCGGAGCGTTCCAGGCCAGCTGCCGTGCCAGACCGTGGCCCAGGGATGCTCCTACGCCTGCGATTTCCTGCTCGCTCCTGACATCTGCATTCCTCATCCCTCCACCAGCTGCAGGGCAGGGACCAGCCAGCCCCGCTGCCCCCCGGCTCACCGTCCACCCCGGGGCTGCTCCAGCCCCACATGCTCCCAGCCCACACTGAGCACAGGTCCCTCTGCACCAGAGGGGATCCCAGGAGCAGCTACGATCCAGCACATCCCCGAGTCCGAGGGCAGCAGCTCCACATGGAGCCAAGATGCTGCCTGCCAAGACTGGAAGCCACATCCGCAGTGTCACCAAGGCAGTGACAGGATCCACAGCCCCTCTGACCCACCTCTCACTCCTGCCCAGCCTCCCGCAGAGGCTCCGTGGCAGTTCGTGCTCCTCATTAGCCTAATTACACTCGGGCTGACAGCGCAGCTCCCCAGCTGTAGCTCTGAGGAGGGATTCTGGCAGGGCCAGAAGGACGGAGCGGCTTGGCAGGGGCCCAGGCAGGAGCTGCGGTCTGGACAGGGAGCCCAGGAGTGCACGGGGGGGCACCAGGGCGCAGCCAACACCAATCCCAGCCACGGGGACAAACTCCCGAGGGCTGCACACCCAGGGAAAGGCTTCTCCCTCCTCTGCCATAGCTTTTTGCACCCTCCCAGTGACATTTAGGAAGCTCAGGGGAGCTATGCTCTCCCCCATTCTTATCTCCTACCCCAGGAGAGCACAGGTAGGAATTGCCCAGCCACAACCCACTGTCAGCACCAGGCCTGGAAGGAGCTGGATGATCACAGGACATGACCAAGGACATGTGTTAAACATGGTACTGCAACTCCCACCCCAGCTTGGCCCCTACACCACATGCAGAAGACTCGCTGTGCCCTGAAACCAACTCTGATCACCCCAGTTGCCCCCAGGCACCATCAATCGAGTGGCTCTTACCTGCTCCACGGCTTGGGGGGTCTCTGGCTGGCGGCGGGGGGCGGCTGCTCTGCAGGGACGGGGAGGCAGCGGTGGGCGGCGGCGGTGCCAGACCCCGCAAGGGGCCCGGCGCCTTCCTGTGCAAGGAGTTGTGTCTCTGCGGCAGCTCCGGAGCCAGCTCGCTGCTGGGGCTGGAGGGGCCGTTGGGGACACCGGGGGGCTGCCGGTAAGGGGGAGGCGGGGGGGGCGAGAGACTGGCCCTGAGCGCCCGAGCGGAGGCTGACAGGGGAAGGAGGGGGTTTGATGGGCGGAGGGGCGGGGGGTCCGTCCCTGCTGCCGGGCGGGCGCTGTCCCGGGGTGGGCGGCAGCGGCTTCTCCCGGTTGTAGGGCGAGGCCTTGGCGTGCGCCGCAGCGGGGGCCGGGGGCGCGGCGGCGCGGCGGCCCGGCGGTGGGGGCGGCGGGGCCGAGGAGCTGTGCTTCATGCCGGTGCCACCGGCGGTGCCGGGCCGGGACAGGTCAGGCAGGGAGGGCCTCTGCGTGCGCGGCAGCTCCGGTGGGGACCCTCGGCTGCTGTCGGCATCGTCCTGAGGGCGGCTGTTGCTGGCCGGCACGGGGGGCCTGGGAGCAGCTGCTCGGGAGCCAGGGACTTGCAGTGTTTGTTTAGTGGAGCTGTCTGCGGGGAAGGAGAGCACAGTGAGGGGTTGGGGACAGAACGGGAGCAGTGCCCTGTCCCTGCAAGCCAAGGAGTGCCAGGCCACAGGGACGGCCAGGGACGGCTGCTGGGCACACGCAGGGGGCTGGCACCGAGCACAGCCACACACGGCTCCTCTCTCACCACTCTACTCTGTGGCCACCACACAGTTCAGCAATACACGAAACTCCTGCGCCCTCCAAGAAGTCTGTGTGTGGGGCTGAGGCTCAGGGAGGGCACACAGGATTTGGGGTCCTGCCTCTTAGCAGCTGAAATCCCCAGGGATACACAGTGAGATCCTCAACCCCTTCCTGCTCAGGGCCCTCCCCAGGGACCCCCACACAGATGATGGGCCTGTGGCCATTACCTGAGCTGTCCTTGGCTCCCACAGGTCTGAGCTTGGGAACGCCGCCTTGGAAGAGGCCACCCTTGGGCTGGATGGCAGCTGAGCTGGAGCCGTAGCTGCCGCCGCCGCCGCTGCCCTTGGGCTCTGAAAGGAGGGAGGCAAAGAGGTTAAGCCTGGAATTATCCGCTCCTCCAATGAGGAGCTGCTGGGAACCAGATGGACAAGCGCCCTGAAGGGTATAGCAGCACCAGCATGGGGCCGGGAGCCTCCCGGGGACTCACTTTCCAGGATGGGTGCAC